ATGTTTTAGACTGCTGAAATGTTACCTTGAAAAGGCACCGACATGTTTCACAGCTAGTAGATCAACTTTGTCAAATTTTTCTTTTTTTTTTTTTTTAAGTACCTTGAAATGTCTCAGCATCCACTCTCACAGTTTTTGTGGCTAGACACAGGGTTATGCTCTTCCTTCTCAAAATGGGCTGGATAATAATTTAAATGCATCACTTCATAATGTCGTAAGATACCTTTATTTTTTAAAATTTTTTGTTGGCTATATACATAGAACAATATGCCACTTGAATGTGGAGCAGTAAATGTATTTATCCAACATTTTCTTAGAAATTTCTTAGGTAAAGAAATGCATCTTTAAAGGGCATAAACACCCTGTAGAAACTTCCATTAGCAGTACTACTCATCTGACAAACAGAAAAATTCTCTTTTCCTTAAAACTCAAACCCACCCTGTCTAGGAAGAGACCAAATCTGGAGAGTCATGCCCAACAGCAGAGGAAAGACGGCCTGCTTACAGGGAACGCTGCTACTCCAGCTGTTACGCAGTTCCTGTAGTACACTTTGCCAAAAAATTGCAAGTTGTCCTGAGACACTGATTGATTGTACAGACCCTTCAATATTTTAGAAGAGACACCAACTCCTCCTCCTTACGCCCTTCCATGTCTTTCACAATGAACTTAACAAGGCCCACTAGCTTTTAAATCTAAACAATGATAGTTAAGTGATGCCTTTTTACCAAAAAGCATGACTTTCTTAAATCACATTAATGCAAATAGTGATTGTTGTTAATTGTCATCTTAGCATACACAAGCAATTAACTTGGTATTTATGTTAAAAGATGGGATAGTTGTTTGCTTTAATGAAACAAAAGTTGTGCTGGATTCTCACCGCAAAGAAGCCATGGAAAATACCATGATTTTTGGTACTGGATGTACACCTTGATAATTCAAATATGGTTAATTCCAACAAAGGAGAAAATAGCTTCTTCTGAATGGTTTTGGCTGCTTTTGTAATATTACTAACACATCTAAAAACCCCTATATTCATTAAATCACTGACTATTCTGTTTTTTTTAATATATTTAACAAAAGGAACTAATGGCAGTGGCTGCTCCAAAACAAACAAGATAAATTTTCATGGAAAACCTCCACAGGTCATAAGCATCTACAAACAACAATGCTCTGATTTTAACCCTTTGCTGCATTTCAGGAGCAAGAGAGTGACTACTCTATGGCCTACAGTCCCATGACACATCTCATGATGAGTCTCCGGCATTTAAACAAACAGAACCGTGGGACCACTGTCATTTACACCACGGGACTGGAAAACTGCTCGGCAGACAGCACCGCAGCAGGATAAATGCACTAACCGTGGAGGTCAGCCGTGAGCTGGGGAAGGGGAGCCACACGACTCTTGCTAAACGCAACTGGATGCCACTGTGTCATTGTTATTTATTAGTTGCATGACAGTAGGCTATGACCACTGAGAAACCTCGTTTCTGAATGTGACCGTTCCCGTTTTTCTTCTCTCTTTCCTACCACATGGGAAGTCAAGACGTTAGTGCCATGCAGTGTACGAATGGCTGGATCTACCACTTCTTAACTCATGCTACTTCCAGTACTGTAAAAAATCTGCTCCCTGTGTTAACATCATGCACATATACAAACCAACAAAGTATGTCACAGCATACTATGCTGATGTACCATATTTCCCATGCCAGTTTGGATGAAAGGCCTCTATAATAGAAAGCAGAGCAAATGGAAAGGTCTACAGAAAAAAAAAAAAGTTTTGCTACATCCTCTTTCACTTGACTTAATTTATCTTTTCTGAATATTGCATTTAGGAAAACAACAAATCCTTGCAGTAGCATAATCATTGGCTGGATTTACAGGATTTATTTCTTTATTTAGCCTCATCTTATAATTCTTCCAGAGCCTTGGCCAGAAAACAAGAATTATTCCTAGCTTACTCATTTCTGCTACTAGCTGTGCCTTTGTTACGCTCATTTAACAAATCTGTATAATGCCAAGCACCATTAAGGCCTTGACTTCAATGGAGAGTTTTTAATCAATATTATAAAATAGTAACAATTAAATTGAGAATCTCAATTTGTTGTTTTAGAATTACACAGCTTATCTTGCATGCAAAGTAGATGTAAAATGGGTAAAAGCTTTTTGATTTTAAAAAGTCTGAGATTTCTGCCAAAATTCCACATACAAATGAGGGTGACAGGAAAGTTGCTGTCTCTTTCAATGACTTACATGGTTTTTGGCCCTGTCATATATTGGTACTTTCTCTTTTGTTACATGAGAAACACCACTAAAACAGAATTGAAACTACTTTTTCATCTCTGGAAGAGACTTTGAAACACCGTAACAATGGATCAATAATTTGTCTGGATGTGGTGTGATGGTGTAGGGGGGAAAAAAAAAAAAAAAAAAAAGAGTGAAACATTCAGATACTAATGTGAGAAAATATATTCAGAAACACAGACCTTAAAATAAGCGTTTTGCAATATCAAACTCCTTCTGATAAAAAGATTGAGAAAAGCTGGGAGAAAAAAAAGTACTAAAAAATTTTACAGAACATAGCGATCTTATTGACATGACAGTCTCAGACCTAATTAAATTAATAGAAAATATTTCACTTCTATATTTATGTCAGAGCCCTCACTAAATTTACTAGTACTATCTAGATATTTTTTTGTCAGTGAAAAAAAATCAGGGGTACCATTTTATTAAAACATGCATCAAAAGAACAACTCAAAATTCTTGAGCAGTCTCAAAATTGAAATAAGACCTTTGCCTTTTAAGGAGGCATGTTAAATGGGTAGTTCTCAATTTCTCAAATTTACCTTCATTCATTATTTTAATTGAAAGCCACAGTGAGTAAGGTAAAATATGCTTAAGCAGGCTAAACAGCTAACAATTTTTGTATGTATATATTTATGAATTCAACTAAAGGAACAACATTTTTATCTCAACTAAGTGGCCCACTGAAGTTCATAATAAAAATTAAGAGAACAAAAATAATACAAATTTTCAGAGGTTCTACAGCTACTTTTGGTGGCCTTTGCTTTTACAAAATTAAGGAGGAGATAGTTTGGAGACTGAGAAACAAGCCCCCAGATTTGATTAGGAATGTTAAAGTAATTCTAGCAACTGAATAGAAAGATGAGAGGGGACTTTGATGCTGAGAAGAAAAGACGGAGCAATGTGCAAAACACTGACTCTAGTGATGTAGGAATAAAGACAACACAGCAAAGGGCAAAAAAGAAATACTAATTTGTACTGCACAACATGCCTTCTAATTGGCTGTGTGCATGTACTGGCCAAGCTATTATGCCGGGGTGAGCTACAGGTTACCGGGTTCATTTAGCATGGATGTAACTAATGATCACTTTTATTTTAAGCGAAGAAACATAGAAAAGAGGGATGTGACATCATAGTTTTGAAACCAACTTCTACAAAACCCAAAGCTGATGATTGTTTGAGCTCACAAAAACCATGGAGAATTTTTCACTATAATTACTAAACTCTTAATACCTGTGCTTGTGTAAGAGATGATTACCCGGAGCTAGTAAAATCACATGCTTTCTGGCTGAAGTCAATTGCTCAAAATACAAAACTTGAACGGCTTTTTCCTCTTCCTTTCCTTTTATTCAAGTGTCCAAGTTGTCTAAGCACACTGTAAGTTTTTAAATTTCATGGGAAGGATCCAAAATATGAAATCTTTTCAGTCAAAAGACAGAATACACTGACAAATATTTAATTCAGTAAAGCAATTGGTGTCCGTCCCCCCCCTTTTTTTTCTTTTTAAACTATGCAAAGGACATTGGGCAGATCACAACTGTAACAATTAAAAGGAGAAAACCCATTCTGGACTTATAAAAGCAAGTAGCCTAGCTTAAATATTCACAGAAGTGTCTCACATACGTAGACATATTTGAATAAGAAATTTAGTGGTGATTTAGAAAGTCACAGTTGTATCAGTTTTCTTCCGTTGTAGAAAAAAACTAAAAGCACAATGATTTTAAATAGTAAGCTAAAGTTGAGATCCTTTTTATGTTCTAAGAGGAAGGAGGGACAGAAGCTTTTTTAATAATCCAAATTACAAATTTTCTTAATGCGGAATAATTACAATAGAAGTCTGACCTGTACCTGTGTGTTAGCCTTCCATACTAGCAGCAATCAGTCATAGCTGTAACACTTTTCAGGCCCCAGTTCAAGAAGCAATTCTCAATCATGAGTGTGGCTCAATTTTATATTATTTCCCATTGATGCTGGAGACAACTAACTGGACTCTCATGATCCAAGACTCGGAACAAGTCAGGCTCATACTCAGTGAGCGAGTTGGGGATACAACGTCATCTTCTGTCTCCACCACAAGCACATTGTGCTCCGGTATTTAACCAGGGGAACCTTCTCGGCCATCTCCTGCAGCTCTCCAAGAGCTTTATGGTGTCCCAGCTACTTTCAGTTCGTTCAGGTCTGCCTTTACTATAGAACAGTCCCAGAAGCAAATACAGTGGTGACTTAGCTAAAAGTTGTAATGGGGACTGGAAGAAACACAAGTTATTATAAAACATGTGTATGTGTATTTTTCAATAAATGGCATGGCATTAGGGTGAGATTAAAAAAAAAAGTAAGAGCATACTCTATCAATATATAGAGACCACTGATGGGGGCTAACCTGCAAATGACTGCAGAAAAAGAAGACGGCAAAAGCCATCAGAAGCCTGGTTTCAACACCAAGTTTGGGGAAGTGAATGGGATAAATAACGGCAAAAATTATTATTAAATAGCTACATTTGATACTTACAGTACAGCTGACCATTACTGGCTTTTTAAAAATCAAGAAATTGCACAAGCCATTCTCTCTCCCTCCATATACACACGCACAAATTATAACCTGACTTTAATAAGGAAGTTTCTCTCAACTGTCAAGAACATCCTCGAAAATTTTACAAAAAACCATTGAAAATAAGGAGATTTAAATGTAATTTACCAACCTTCTTGTAGTCGATTATATTTCCTTTTCCTCGTGCCTTAAAGAGAAAGAGAGATTTTATATAAGACAGTATATGCTACAAACTAGAGTTGCAAGAATGAAGAATGCAATTAAAATAGCTACTACTTTAAACATAACCAACTTTCTTTAGGAATCTGATACGGAAAACCCTAAAATACAACCAAATGTGTTACCAGCTTATACAACATGGTTCTGTTTCAGATGAGAGCTGCAGATACTCAATGTAATTTTTAGGGTTTTTTTATTATGACTTGTAGTTAAACATTTGTTGAATCCAAAATGTTTTGGTCTTACGAAATCTTGCTGTTTGCATTAATTAATCTCTCCAATGAGATTCTGAAATAAACTATACTTCATATCAGCAATAACAGAATTTATTTTCCTAAAAGAGAACTCTTCGTATATCTATAGTGATTCGCACATACATAGTAGTCTAGAGCTCTCAAAAGGGGATGGTCAGGACCATGTCAGCGCTATTAGACCTAGGTTAGAGGTGCTTTTGGTTTAGAATTGCATTTAAGTATCAGCATCATCCTTTACTTAAGCAGCAGATACATACAACCTATAACTCCTAATACATGCAGAAAGAAGTTGTGAATAAATTTTAAATTTCTTCTTGCCCAGACGTAGTCCAAATTCCTCAATTTTGTCACAGGATGACGGAGAAGAGAAGATGTCTATGTCTTTCTCGCCCAGTGGCAGTACTCTGCCAGACAGAG